AAGGTATCCACACAAGTAGGTCTGGGAGGGGCTATTTAGTCCAACCCCCTGGTCAAGATCCTTATCTAAACTGTTCTATATAGCTGTTTATCGAAACTTGTTATTCTGAAAATTGCACAAACAACTCTCTCACAATACAGGCACAATGCCATAAAAACCCACCAAGAACACCCTAACTTGCCACAGCTAAAGCATAGGGACGATGTCACTGTCCTGCCACTGCTGTTTGTTAAAATACATTTGAGACATCCCAGGAAGAAGACCATGCACCCTGCTACAAAAAAGGCAGAATCCCCCACAGTCCGTGCCAATCTACCGGTGGGGTAAAATTCCTTCCTCACCGCAACTATGGCAATCAGTCTGACCCTGAGCAGAAGAGCAAGGTCCTCTAACCAGAAACTATTGGGTTTTTTAGTCCCAGCAGCAGCATTGCATCAGCATATATCAGTCAAAATCCCCAGCCTGTGGCTGCAGCCAATACCTAATGCTTCTGAGGAAGGTGAAAAAACACTCTCCACCTGTAGCCACAAGAGGGGAAATTTTCTTTCAGGTCCCTTGAGGCAACCAGCAAAGTCTAGCAGGATGAAAAAAAACAAACACCCTCTACTCTGCACTACAACCTGCAGGCTGCAATCAGCTCCTAAATGGCGAGGCAGAACTCCCTTTTCTGTCATTCTATCCTCTCCATGAACTTATCCCAAACTCTTTAGTTTCTTTCATAACCAAGCCAGTTCAAAACAAACACCTTGAATTGCATCTGGAAGCAAACAGAAAAGCTGTACAGTCTCCATTGGAGAAAAGCAGCACATTCGCTGGACATATTGCCATTGAGCAACTGCCTCTGCCTCAGTTTCCTCACCTATAAAATTAAGATAACAAGACAGCTCTCCTTTGAGCTCTACTGATAAAAACCGCTAGAGAAGAGCAAAATATTACTATGTGAGCAAGTTGCCTTGTTCTGCACCAGCTAAAGTCTCCCAGGGGGTCTTCCAAGCTCATGGCAGTAATCCAAGTGCAAAGTAAGAAAATGACAAAGCAGGCTGGTGACATCATTATTAAGGAAATAAATAGTTGTAGTGTCCTAGCCAAAAACAAATAAATATTCTTATCTTCTGCTGCCACCTAAGTAGGCACCTAGAAAGGTGGAAATAGCTACCTATTGAGGGATGGAGGCTCCCACATTATTCAAGTTCTGGCTGGACACCTCTAAACTGGCAGCAGCCTATACCAAATTCACATAAAAGACTTATACAACATAAAGAACAATCAAAAAACCCTATCTACTTATTGTAGTATGTTCAAAAACTAGCACCAATGCCTAGAACAGTAGTTTTCAACCTTTTTTTCAACTCGAGGCACCTCTGCGTAATTTTTGTGAATTGAATTGCACCCAATTTCAAAAACTAAATTTATATATCATAGTGCTTACCTTTTTGCAGAGGAGCTGGGCAGTAAGGGGTCAGCCAGACAGGGGCAAGCCTCAGCCTGAACTTATCTCCTCATACCTTTCAGCACCCTTCAAAGAATCTGGCAGCACCCTGGGGTGCCATAAGAGAATCGATGGCTGTGGCGGCGAGGCACCACCACAGCCTCTCAAGGGGGAGAGAGTGAACACTGCGGGCCCCAGACCCCAAAAGCAGGGCCCCGGCAGAGCTCACTTACCTCCCGCAGGGCAGCTGGAGCAGAAGCCGTGCAAACTGGCATTACATTGGCTGTTTAATCAGCTGTTTCTGGCGCGGGAAACAGCTGAGCCAATCCCAGCAGCCGTACTGGCCGCTGTGGGAAAGTTTAAAAGCCCCGCCGGATCTGGGGCAGAGGGAGAGCTGGAGAGAGAGAGAGAGCAGGCTGGTAGCTTGTGAGGCAGGCTCCGGCATGGGGAGGAGGCAACCCAGCCTGCGTGGCTCACACAGGCAGCATGGGGGAAAGCTTTAAGCCTCCTATTGGAGGCAAAGCAGGGGCACCCACACAGCCCTCGGAAGAAGCTGACACCAAGGAGGCAGGGGAGCTCCCTGCTTATGGTAGGAGAGAGGAGGCATCCGAGATCCCTAGAGGGGGCTGGGATAAGGGAGGCAGCCCTGCAGCCCCCTCCTACTCAGAGGGATACTTTCTTTGAAGTAAAACGACCCTAAGAGAGGAGAAAGAGGAACTGGAACCCGGTAGACAGGCCCTCGGCCGTCCTACAGGGCCAGAGAACATCATTAACACATCACCAACCGGTTGGCAAGTGGACGGGGTGTAGGGGAGGCAGAGCCCCGCGGAACACCGCGTCCAATGATCGTAAGTACCACCATCCATCGGGAAGGCCCACCCGGGAAAGATCTCCACTGAAGACCCCTCTTATAGTAAGGTTAACATCAAAGTTGTGGCAGGCAAGTTGAGGGGTGGGCCACACCCCGACAGGCCGGACAGCCAGAAGGGCGCAAGACGTCACAATGGCCTAGAACAACAAGAACAAGGTAATTGGTGTATTGAGCCCAAAGCCCATCCTTACTAGAACAGATGAAATTGTATTTTAGAGACCAACATTCTTACTTCAAGAGGCCTCACAAAAGCTCCTCACTGATAACACAATATGTCCCGCTTCAAGCGCTAGAGTTTACAAACCACCTCTATATAATGCCCTCTGTATCAGTGATCTTCAACCAGGGTGCTACAGCACCCAGGGGTGCAATGAGATCTTTTTAAAGGTGTTGCAGGGCATGGCACAACATTAGCACAGTTGAACTGTGCATGATTCACAAGATAAGCCCAGAAATTTCAAATAGGAATTCATAGGGCATTTATACATGTTCTCAGGGAGGGGGGAGAGGCTTTTAATTAGAGTGGGTACAAGATCCACTGTAATTAAAGCACTTGGAGCATCTCATGTATCAGCATCCCTATACTGACAAATGGCACTGGGGGCGCTTTAAATAAGGTTAATCAAATGAGCTTTAGTTAAAGTGCCCCACCACCATTTTTCAGCATAGGGATGCTGACACAAGACGCTGGAGTCTGCTGGAGCACAGTAATTACCACGCTCCATCAAACTCGATTAATCAAGTCTGCTCCGGCATACTGTAATTACAGCACATTGGAGCAGCCTTGCTGCACATGTATAGGCACCCAGTGTCAAAAACATTTTGACCTGCTGTGGTCTGAGTTCTTTGCAACAAAAGAATTGCTCTATTATTTTTCTAGTAGTCAAAAAAAATGAGTGAAAGCTAATATCTGGCATTTTCTGAAGGATGCCTATAGTCTAATGAGGGGTGCCTTTAGTCTTAAAAAGTTTGAGAACCACTGCTTTATATATTCCATCCACCACAACCCAGCAATCACAAGTTCCAGCCAGAAGTATCTGGGCAAGCTCAAACTATAGTAAAAGGACAGAACAAAGGAGAGAGAAAGAATATTAACTTCTGAAACATACATAGCATCCTCTTTACCTGCTCATTTCACTCAGCTGACCTGCAGTCAAGACAACTTCTTGAGAGGCCCAAATTAACAATAAAGGGCCAGATTGTAAAGCGGTGTGATCTGGCATTGCTCCATTGACCTGAATGGAACTACGCTGATTTATACCAGCTGAGAATGTAGCCTAGGCTTTTCCAAAATATAGGAAATAAGAAATTTAGGGCAAAATATATTTTCCATAACTTTCAAGAATGTTCTCTCTATTTGTCAAGGATTTTGTAAATTTATGGAGCTAAATGACTGTTAATAACAATCTTTTGCATTTGTTTTAGGATTTTTTTGGGGGGAGGGGGGGTTAATTAAACATATCAACTAGAAAAAAATAGGATCCAAGATATGCATTATATATTATTTTATTTTTAGAGACAAACCCAAACAAGAAGGTTTGACCCATATTCATTACTTTTGAGAAATCCGTATCTTGACATGAAATTTTCAGTTTAGGCCTCTATAGATCGCTACTGCTGTCTTAAGCACTGAAGTACGAATAGGTTCTTCACGATCATTTCTGTGCATGAACTATACAGCCATATTCATGTTCATACATTTCATGTGCAAACACAGTGTTGAATACCTTGTGCTTTCTCAGTCAGATTCAGTTGCACTAAGAACATACAAAGTTAAGAAGATGACAGACCCCTAAAAATGCAACCCTCAGCTCAGCAGTGGCATACTGCAGGGAAAGAAAAGCTCAGAGGCTCTTAACAAGTTATGGTAGGATTTTCAAACACATTGAAATGCATAGGAAGCTGGGCACCTAACTCTCTTTAGGCTCTTTCAAAAATCCCAGTCTTCAAGAAGATGATCAGGGATGAAATGCACTTAGAAGTGTGGCATAAGATGAGGAAGGAGCTGGAAATAAAGCAGCAGCAAGAAAAGGAAAAAAGAGGACCAGAGGAGAGACTGAGGATGTCAAAGCAATTGCATGATGTATACATGAGACAGAAACCAAGGCAGCAGATGGAGAAAAGGAACAGAAAGCATTGCAAACATCTGGAATTCAAGATCTGTATGAGATGAATGGAGCTGAGAAGGGCATTGCAATCATAAAAAAAATGGACAGCAAGGACATACTGAGACATGCCAGCCTCGCATTGCCAAGCTAGTGACTAATTTATCCCCTTCACTTCTTCCAGACTGTTCATGACTCTCTCCTGTGCCATCTCCTTAACCTGCCCTCTGCCATGCTACTACTTTTCTTGCATTGCTCCAATACATTTAAGATACTATAAGTCACAGTAATACAAGCTTGTAGAGCAGCCCCCTCAATCTGCATAGGTGTGATTATTTATTTAAAGCTGTGTTATAAAACACGCCAAAGTGGTTCTTTTTCCAAAGCAAAAAATAGAAGAAATGATGTGCTATCACAAGTGATCGAGTAAGTCTGGGTGGTAGAGAATCTCATACAATTGATAATTCTACTGCCATTAAACCATCTCCGTTTCTATCATCCCCAGCATCTCCCACTTAGGGATAAAATAATCAAGTATTACACACATGGGTATCTAAAAATAATTAACACAGTTTATTTGTAGTCCACTATTCACCTTGTCTGGTATTTGATTCCAATTGAAAATTCTTCCTGTTGCTGCACTTGCAGTAAAAGCTGTTCCCCTGAGGTGGGTGCTAGACTCCACTGAGATGGGTGCTGGACTCCTGAACTCCACAAGTCTATACAGAAAAAAATCCTTCTCACATATGTTGCGCAGAGCAAAGTATGCTAAAATAAGACCAGAGCAGTCAATGGACTTTACTTTAGCCCATGCTGTGCACTTTCCCACACCAAACACATACCAGTCAGTGGCACACTAGATTGGCCACCCATCCACATAAGACAGATTCTTTGCCCCTAGATACTTGCATTATCTTCCACAAAGATTTTTTTTCTGTAACATGAGCTAAATCTCTACAAAGGGGCAATAATAGGTATCTATCCTGACTCAAGTATTCTTTGGCCACTGCCTTCTTCCCATATTTCCAGTTGCATTTTGAGGAGGCAGGGGCCTGGCACACACCAGCCAGGCAAGTGACGCCTGCATGGCAGCGTGAGATGATGCATGGCAGCACTCCATCCCCACCCACGCATACCTCCTAGGGCCTTCTCAAGTACCCGCAGGGGTACATGTACCCCCCCAGTTGACAACCCCTGCTGTAAACCATAATGTAGTGCAAAAGCAGGAGTGAAAATTGTATTGCTTCAGATCCAGTGTGAGAAGAGCCCGTATGTGAAAACAAGCAAGATTAGGCAGTGAGGATTAGGACCAAAGGACCTAGGCAGATTTTAGGTATCTGTGCCCCAAAATCACACCCTTAAGCACCTAAGTCCCCTGAAGGGCCTGGTCCTATACATAGGTCCCAAGCTTGCCAAATGCAGTGACAGGATTGGGTCCAACACAGACTTCAGGTGTAGTGGCTCCAGCTCTGTTTCTAACCTGTGGCTGGAGGCCGTGGGTGTGTACGCCAATGCCCACCTTTCACATAATAGCCTAGTTATTACCCAGGGAAATGTAGCCTTTGGAAGTTCATGCCCATACCTCTCCCCTTCCAGGAGACTTCCAGCCACTGACCTACAGAAGCTTGTTTCCTCTTGTGCTTACTCTTCCTGATCCCATAAATATTGGTCTCTCTTCTGTACTGTGCTACAGCATCAACAGAAGGAGTAGAGGGCCCCCATCCATCCTAGTCTACAATGCATAGGAAACACTCCTGGGAAGTGCATGATGTAGATTTGAACCCACTTGGGCTGAAAAGGATCCTGAATCTGGGTTTTTCACATCCCTTCTCAAGTGCTCTAGCCACTGGCTTATTAAAAAGGCATCCCCTTAAAAGAAAACAGCAAACCTTGTTCAGTTCTGTGAAAGAATAGCTGCAGGAAACTACTTTCAGGAGAAGTCTCTGGACTGAGGCCTGACTGAATGGCAGTACCCATCTGCAGCCCTCCCTCAGGTGCCTAGATTCTGGAGGTGTTTAGGCACCCTCCTGAGCATAGTATTTCCTGTTGGCTAGCTTTAAGTGGCTCCTCATTCCACATACAGGCTTTTGGATGTCTTTTCTGAGGTATCAACTCTCCCATGCCTTATTTGGGCAGCCTACATGCATAACTCCTAGTTTTAAATTCTACTTTGGAGGCTAGGTCCCTAGAAATAGTAGGACCTAAAGTCCTTTATTGGATCTAGCCCTAAGTACAAACCTCTATACACAGCAGACCTCTCCAGGCCCCAGTGAGTTTGGTGCTTTGCTCTGCAGAGCACACAAAGAAGGAGACCTGGGTTTAAGCCACAACTTAAAACAGCCTTAGTTATTCACTTCCCTTTTTTAGACATACTCCTCTTCTAGCACAGGAGTAATTTACAGGCATCATGTCAGGGCTCTTCTTAATCCAAGTTTAAGTTCCCCAACATTCTCTACCCTGCTCATCACTTTTTCCCTTGGCTGTACACACATAGTGCTGCACCTATGCTCAGCAGATGCAAGCTCTTAGTGCAGATGTATCTTACTGGCAAAACGGTAATCCAACATCATGTTCATCCAACTTATTTTGATTACCAGCAAGAGGCCAGTTAAGGCTAATTGTTTGGGTAATTTCTGTTATGTGGATACACATGCACTGCATTAGAGCTGCCCCAGCCTTGGCATGATCTGAACCAGATAAATCAAGGTAAGAAGGTGTTAATGTGTGTCTACACTAAAGGAAAGGTCAAGATTAGATAGAACATGAGCTATGGTAGGCAAACTGTAAGAAAGGCAATTAAGACAATTAATTCCACACTGGCCACTGAACACACACAAGTTAATAATTACCAGCCTGAATTACCAAGTCTTAAAAATAAGCTCCACATTAAAAACTAGAGGCCAGATCTTCAAAGCTATTTAAAGACCCAGCTCCAGTTAATTCTAATGGACCTTCCTTGAGAATCTGGGCTCAATGTCTTGCAAAAAATAATTCATTCACAAAAGCAAAGCCAGTAACCTGAACTCTTGATTTGCAAGTGACACATGGTTTCCTCCATTCTTACCAGAGGATTAAAGGTCTTTCTTGTATCCCTGCCCAATAGCAGGTGGATTTTTATAACGCTAAAGCAAAAAACCAGGGTGGACTTAATCTTGTCAGTCTACTAAGGTTGCTTTTTTTCTTTCTTTTGATACAAGAAACTTAATGTTTCTCATTGCTGATTGTACTACTCATTAAATTAATACACAGACAGATAGTTGGATCCTATGAAACAAGTTGCATTTGGCATCTACTGCATTGCAGATTGTGCCTATGAAATTAAATTTCCAAGGACAAGATGGAAAAGACACTGTGGAAACTAACTGATGGTCTGCTGCTCCATGGTGAAGGTGAGCTGTTAAGGAAAGATGCAAAGAAAGCAGAATGGTTCAATGCCTAATTTGCTTCAGTTTTCTCACACACGTGCACACACGCACAACCAAACGACTAGCAAATTTAACAGACACAAAGGGGAAGGGCTACAAATCATGATGAGGAAAATGGCAGAGAACTTTTGATATTTGAATTAATTTAAGTTAGCAGCACCTGACAAAATTCACCCCAAGGTGCAGATGGAAAAATCATGATGCCACCAGCAATAATGTTTGCAAGCTTGCAGATGACAAGAGAGGTCCCAGAAGAGTGGGGAAGGACTAATATAGTACCCGTTTTTAAAAAGTGGGAAAAAGGAGACCTGGGAGACTGGTGAGCCCGGCTTCAATAGCTGAGAAGTTACTAAAGCAAATTTTAGAATTGTCAGCCTGGAAATAGCTGGAGGATGATGATGAGGAAGAGATCACTGGCAACCAACATGGACATGTAAAGAACAAATCATGCCAAACTATTTTGATCTCCTTTTTTGACAAGGGAATCAGGTTGATGGATGAGGGGAATCCAGTGGACATAATAAGGCTTTTGACACCATTTTTGTAAGTAAGCTGGAGAAGTGTGGCATAGATACCATTAACTCAGAGGCAGCCTGAGGCAGGGTTCCAAAGGGGTCTGTTCTGAATCCAAGGTTATTTAACATTTTAATTAATGATTTGAATGTAGAAAGTGATCATTTACTAAATTAAAGGTGCAGACGAGGCCTAGAAGAGGTTTCATACCCTTTGGAATACTGAATTTTAATCCTATGTGATCCTGATAAACTGGATCAATCTTATGAACGATAACAAAATAAAATTCTACAAGGACAAACGTAAGGTAGTACTACCCCTACAGACGAACACAAATGTACAAATACAGAATGTAGGCTAAATGATATGACACTAGCAGAAGAAAGTTCTGTGGGTTATAGTAGATCAGAAACTCAACCTGAACCAGCAGTGTGATGCTACTGCAAAAAAATCAAATACAAGTTTGGCTTAGGTTAGCAGAAGCATTATATCCAAGACTTTGGAGGTGGTAGCAGTACTCTACACAGCAGTGGTGAGACCTCAGCTGAGGTACTGTGTCCAATTTTGAGCACTGCATTTTAAAAAGGATGTAGAGAAACTGGAGAGGATCCAGAGAGGCAAGCAACAAAGATGATAAAAGTTGGAATGCAAGCCATATGAGGAAAGGCTGAAGGAACTAGGTATGTTTAGTCTGTAGAAAAGGAGATTAAGAGGGGACATGATAGCAGTTTTCAAATATTTGAAAGGTTGCCATGAAAAAGATAGAAAAAAAAATGTTCTCCCTTGCCACAGAGGGCAGGACACAAAGCAACAGGTTTAAGCTACAACAAAATAGATTTAGAGCAATTTCAGAAAAAGCTTCCTATCATACATGTGTGAACCACAGGACAATGGAAGAAGCTGTCTAGGGGAAAACTGGAATTCTGTTCACTGGAGATTTTCAACACAAGGCTGCACAAGCATCTCTCTGGCATGCTTCAGAAACAGTAAATCCTGCAACTGTGCGGGGGGCTGGAGCAGATGACTCTTTGGGTTCCTTCCAACTCTGGTGTGGTTCTATGACCAAAGAGAACAAGTTAAACTAAGGGCATTGTCCTGTTCATACCTGGCATTTTGTGAATAATTCATGATTAAAAATAAGCAAAAACTGCTGGGTAATTATCAGTGAACTCCTCCCGGAAGAGTCATGTCCAGTTTGGAAACTAAGATGGTTGGAAAATCAGGCAATGGTTAGAAAATACAGTGCAGAAGTAGACTGTAAGCTCTCTGGGACAAGGGCTGTCATTTACTGTGTTTAGAAAGTTCCTCGCAGAAAGGCCACTTTGGTTGACCTCTAGGCACTACCACAATAAAAATGTTTGATAACAACCCATAACTTAGTGGGGAATGTGTTGCTAGAGCTGGGTAGAAACCACAGCAGCTTTGCTTTTCCTTTTGGGTATCATCTGTCTGGTTTGGGTTTTGCAAAAACAGAAATTATGAACATGGGTGGTTTGGAATTACTTCAGTTGAACTATCAGCAAGTTGAGGGAGCTTTGTTTGCTGCTTTGGCCCATCTCTACTTCCTGAACAGAATTGCTTTCAAAATATGAAAGCACTTTACAAAAGATGGCCTTAAGTAAGTTTTACATGGTTGGAAGAAGGATTTCTAGGAAAAAAGAAACACCGCATGAAAAATAATAGCCACAATGTTCCACTCAGTGTTGCCAACTCTTGTAATATTTACCATAATTTTTTAGCTAAGCCCCAGTTTCTAGAGCGATGCGATTATGTGAAAATCTCAGTTTTCATTTTTTTTTTTAAGTGTGCTTCTAGCTTTCATGAGCATGGAGAAAAGCTTGAAAACATGAATCTATGTTTCAGAAACCAGAAGCAAAAAAAAAAAAAATCCAAATATAATTCCAAATATAATTATTTTGGCAGTCTTCTGACTCTTAAATGAATTGAACGGCTTTTTTTTTGGAGGGGGCAGGGGAAGGGGTGTGGACTCCTTTTAAGTGTAATGTTCTTACATTTGTCTGTCTTAGTGGCCATTATGTCTAACGGCTTGGATTCGTGGTTTCCAACCGTTCTGTGGAACCCTAGGATGCCACAGTAGGTTATTACAAAGTCACCAGGGGCTCTGCAAAGAGATGGAGGGTAATGGAGAAGCCAGCCAGGAAGCAGCGCACCACCATTGCCAGGGTGGGTCACCGGGCTCCCTCGCCTCATGCAGCCTGCAGAGCTGGGGCAGTGGTTCTGCAGCAGAAGTGCCAACAGTGCGCACGTGCACCCCCTACGCCAGTGAGTGACAGAATTTCACCTTTCTTGCTCAAGAACGTGCATTTCATCAGCGCTGCATTGGTTCTGGCATCCACTGTGGGAGTCTCCAACTCCAAATACAGGGACACGCCCGTTTAAATGACCCAACGCAACTTGCCCTATTGATTTACACACTTGTATCCCGTTGCTCGCTGACTCCGATGCTGCTGCAACCTCAATCAAGCGTCTTGCCTTCAAAGCAGAGAAAGGCCCAGGAGGGGAAGCCCTGCCTGCAGCCCACTCCCCTGGGTGGGAACACTTCTGAGGATGGACTCAGGGCTCAAGGACAGCACTCTTTAAAAGTTGCCATTCAAGACATCAGATACTCCCTGCTACTGTACTATCGTGATATTACATCACTATAATAAAAGAGAAACAAGGTTCCTTGGGTGAATTTGATATCTCTTATTACCCAAAGAACCTTGTCTGCCTATGTCCTTAGACCAACACGGCTACAACCCACACCCCTGCAACATAATAAAGGAGAGCAAATTCACCCAAAGAACTTTCCCTGTGTGCTTAGACCAACACCCCTAAACCCATTCAAGAGGACCCCTGCCCTGCTTTCACAACCCCCCCCCTCCCCCCGCAGAAGGAGATAGTCTTCAAATCCCCTGAGGTATTTCATTCATACATTCGGGGTTTCCTTTCTCTGTCAGGTGCCCGCAGGGGGAG